TGTGGTCAGCTCAGAAGATGTGTGGTCAGCACACCTGGAGCGGACATCCCCTACCGTCCATACCTTAAAAATATGGACCAGCATACGTAAGGCAACACACATCCCCAAACCCGAGCCCAATGACACCACTGACCAACAACCGCTCCATAGGTGGCGAACTGACATCTAAAGTCCTCAGCGACCAGGAATTCATCACCATACACGTTCTGGATGATAAGGGGCTAAAACCACTATCAGCACTGATTAACAATCAAACCCCTTCACAACTACACTTGTTCCAATACAGGCAACTACAGTATTTCTACAACTCGCTCAAAGACAAACCATCCCTCCACAGAGCCCCCACACAATTCGAAACCTTATGCCTGAACAAAATGAAACTCTATAAGGCAATTTCATTCCTCTACCAATATTCCCTTTTGGGGGACCATCGGGAAAGACACACCTTCAAAAGACAGTGGGAGCATATCACGGGAATCACGTTTACTCAGACCCAATGGGAAAAGATACTCATACTACACCACAAATCTTCAGTAAGTTCCTGCTAACAAGAAGTCAACTATAAGCTCCTGTCGCAATGGTAAAAGACCCCAGCGCTCCTACACAAGATCTTCCCAACTATCCCAGCAACATGCTGGAGGTGCCACGGGGGAGAAGGAACCACTCGACACATATAGTGGGAATGCCCAGGCCTAACACCATTCTGGGATGCGATCAAGTCCAAAATCGCAGGAATTGTAGGCAACACATCACCTTTGACGATAGAACAACTCCGGTTACACTCTACGCCAGAACTGATCTTAAAATATAAAAAATCCATTCTGAGACACATGATCGACGCAGCAAGGGCCCCAGTGCCCGCAATGTGGAAACAGTCGCAAGCCCTGAAACTTGAGCAATAGTGGAGATGGAGGAAATTTACTCAGCAGAGGCTATCAGGGCATCGGTGATGGGACGAAGTGAAAAACATGTTGAGTTGTGGAGACCATGGATAGAGTACATTGCAAAAAGGAGCTTGGGATCGGGAGTGGACCTGGGAAAGGGTAGGGGGAGGAGTTCCCGGGACTGCTTGAGCCTCGCCGGGTGATGATGGATTTATTTATTTTTGCGTTTTTTTTTTTAGTGCGTCGGTTATTATAGCTGTTTATTTGGCCTTTTTTGGGGCTGAAAAAAGAAGATTTTAGAAGAAAGAAAACATCAAATGTTTTAGTTTTTTTCAGGTACTTAGTTAAATGGTCCCTCCTCATTATTTTTAGGGTGAGGGGGGTAGGTAGGGGTTAGTTTTTGTGGTTTGTGGTAGTCACCTGGGGGAGGAGGGGTTATTTTTTTTATTTAGGGCCCCCACCCACTGCTCAGGGGGGGGGCCAGGGGGAGGACATTAGGTCCCCCCCAATTAGTATTTAGGGCCCCCACCCACTGCTCAGGTGTGGGGGCTAGGGGTAGGACATTAGGTCCCCCCCTCATTCTAATTTCTGGCCCCCACCGCTCGGGGGGAGGACATTAGGTCCCCCCTGTAATTAGTTTTTAGGGCCCCCACCCACTGCTCCGGGTTGAGGACAATAGGTCCCCCCCTCATTCTAATTTTGGGCCCCCACCCACCGCTCAGGGGGGAGGACATTAGGTCCCCCCCGTAATTAGTTTTTAAGGCCCCCACCCACTGCTCCGGGTTGAGGACAATGGGTCCCCCCCATTACTTTACTTTGGGGCCCCCACCCACCGCTCATGGGTGGGGGCCGGGGGGAGGACAATAGGTCCCCCCTTATTTACTTTAGAGCCCCCACCCCAGCGCTCATGGGTGGGGGCCGAGGGGGGCAATAGGTCCCCCCTTCAGGTTAAGAGGGAGAGGGGGAAGTTTTTTGTTTTTTTTGTTTGTTTTTTACAGTGAGCAGCCAGAGGCAATAGACATGATCCTACTCACGGTATAGCAAGTAGGGGCATAATTTACTAATACTAAGTAATGTTTACTTAGTATTAGTAAATTTGGTTGAAAAACCAATTTAGGTCTTTCAGCCTCTTAGTAGATAGCTCCCTAAAACTGTGGAAATTAGGGAGTTATCTACTCTTTCATTCCTGTCATTACATTGACTGGCTAAGTAACTTACATATTATATGAATGTATGTTACTTGATTGTTGTAAGTGTTGCGAATGCTTACACCTGAATCCTGGCTATGTTTGTATACTTTTTATTTAAAATTGTATGCAGTGTAACATTCTTCTTCTTCTACTGGGTAAGTATATTAGAACTTAGGCAATACTGTGCTTCGGAACTTCGGCAATTTGGGAACTTCAGCATTTCGACACTTTGGAAATTCAGTAATTTCTGAACTTCGGGACATCGGTAATTCGGCACTTCGCCTATTCGGACATTCGGAAGTACCCGAATGTCCAAATTGCCTGAAATTCGTCCAAATTCATATTCGGCCCGAAACGAATTGCCCATGTCTACTGCTTTTAGTTCTGTTATCAATGTATGTATGCCCAGGTTCAATAGTCACCGCTACAAAGGAAGTTTCTCCTTATAAGCTGATAATAACACATCAACCAGATGTATGAAATACGGATGGAAGTTCTAATTGCCGATCACACACATGCCCACATGTCATTGTATTATTGCAAAAATGCTATGTGACCTGCGAAGACACCACAATCCTACTAGCTGCGAATTGTTGAAACCTGCGCGTCTCGGATTTATGCCTAGACTGAAGTTGTTTGTCTTGTCAGATTGATGTTATACATATCGGATGGGACCTGTGTGTCCACACCACAGTTTTTCATATGCAGTAACAAATGATAATTGTTAAAAAAAATTAAAGAGATTTACAAAATTTTTTTTTATAAAGTAAAGGGGGTTAAAGGTTAGAGCAATGAACTGCTGTTTGTATAGGATTGCAGTGCATTCCATAAATATATTTTATTGCTTCCCAGGGAAAAAAGGAACTTGGATTTCAAAGCCTCTCGTCACCACTTGAACATCTTGGCCCCATCAGCTGTTTATTTTGGCTTGTACTCTAGGCTGAAGGAATCATTTGTCAGAGTTTTAAAAAACATGACCAAGAAAATGGGGAAAAACAGGGATTTTATATGTGCTCTGCCACCCATTTGGCAATCTTGAATTAACTGTTTACCTCCCAAAGGAGATTCCAAAATAAATCCCTTGACCAAATGGGAAGGGAACATGGCCAGGAAGCCATAATATAGTAATTAGTTATTGTATGACTTAAAATTATAAAGCATGCAGGGATTATACATGACATACATGTTTGTAAAAATTTTTGGATGTTGATGGTGTTACTAGTCCCGCTTTTCAAGCACATTGGAGTAAAAAAATCTGCAAGTTAGTATATCTGTCCCTTACAGCATGGCCTTACTGTCCTTACATTTTTTGCAGGTTTATGTTTAAATGCCTGAATCAAGCTTCCACTCTGCAGGATCTCTGGTACAGTTAGCCAGCGCATCAACTAGACTCACAGACAACCCAGCTGTTGCATTAGGGCTTCTCAAAGGTCGTTATGGTTGCAGCTTCCTGCCCAGCTGAGCCTTAGCCCTCCATGGTGACTGCATCTTTGCTCACCAGCTTTTGATGAGTTCTTGATCTTAAGGACACCATAGCAAGCATGACTTGACATGGCATTGCTCCCTAAGATGGCAGCAGCCTCTAGAATGATGGCCGAATGGCTTAGCACTCTACAAGTCCTTAATTCCCATAATACCCAGTGTACAAGCACAATCCTTCATTTCAAGCTTGGGGACCCTATAGTACTACCAATGCATGTCCTGAGAATGACTCCAATTGTAAATCAAAAGGACAACTCCACAATGAAAGGTTTGTGAAACAATATGCTTTTCTTATAAAGGGCAGCATTTGCAAGTCCTCCCCTACACTGAGAGACCAACTAAAATCAGAGGCTAATGGAAGGCAAATCTCCCTGCCAGTGGAGTGTTTCCATAATTTGATTATTAAAGCGCTTATTTCCACTGCAGAAAGTGGTCCTTGTGGAGTGGTCCTTTAAAGGCTTGATTAGATTGTCTAAGAATATTCTCCCTTTCATAATCTTTCCTGGTAATCCTTACATTGGGAAAAAATATGGGAAAGATTTGTTCCATAGACTTAAAGGAACACTTTATTATTAGGAATACAAAGATGTATTCCTAACACTATAGCATCCCTCTGCCTCGTGGCTCCTGTCCCACCATCCATGAAAGGGTTAAAAAAATATATATTTCACTTACCTGTTTCCTGCACCAATGTCACTTGCCGCTGGTAATGCTCCTCCTCTGCCGATATCAGCTGATTTGGGAACCAAAGTGTGAGGACATCCAGCATCGTTTCACGGAGTCAAAAAGTTTTACATTGCAGGGCTAAGGGAACATGGACACTGTACCCAGACCACTTCATTGAGATGAAGGGGTCTGGGTGCCTATAATGTCCTTTTATGAATTTGTGCATTGCTTTGTTTTGTTAAAAAATTTAACTCCTGGCACTGCTTTACTTTTAAGAATTAAAACACTCTCAGCCTATCACTGGCCGCCCATCACGAGTAAAGGTATAACAAGTTACGTAAGTTAATTGGCGATGGACTGGCAGTGATAGAGAGTGCCAGCTAACACGCAAATTAGCTTGGTGGCTTATATTTTAATAGTAAAATTAGCTCAATGATTCATTCTTTAATTGCAATAAAAAATAAAAAACACAGATAACATTCAGCAAGACACCTTCACAAAGGCAGTGGTCTTGCAGTATACAGTTTATTGCGTGCTGTTACCTGGAGCTGTTATACTTGTTTCAACCACCGAGGACACAGAAAAAATGGAGACCCAGTTATAGGCCCTAACTCAGGGGTTCAGAAGCATTAAACTAAAAAGTAATTAAGAACACAGGTCCCTTGTACTGTACAACCCCACGTTATCTGCGCCCAAGATTTTATTATTTATATGCATGAGTGTCAGTAAAAAAAAAAAAAGTGAAAGAATGAGATACACATACCTCAAACTAAAGAGGGTTTAAGGTCACTTTATTCATTTATAAGGCACTTTATTTAGATAAACATTTAAAAAAACTGTCTTTTGATACATTGCATAAACTTAAGAAATACAATATATATATTTATATAAAACCCCTTCAGTTCCTGAATGAAGGACATTCATGAATTTGTCTAAAGCATGGGAAAAGAAAGCACCAACATCGAATAATAAATTGCTCCTTTATTTTTGTTAGCCCTTTCCCTGCCCAATGTGTCAGAATGCGACATTAAAGTAACCACTTTTAACAGCATTGGATTTAAAGAAGTATATGCTAGCTATAATGCAAAACCTGAACTAGAACTATGTAATATTTTCTATACAAGCAAAATTGTCCCAAGGGATGTTCTACTAACTACATCCATTTAATTCAGATTTGATGAAAATATATATATATATATAATACAAATGCACTTTTCATGGCTAATTTTAAAAACAAACTGCTGTGTTGATGCCCTATTTTAGATATTATTATAAGATTCTTTTCTTTGCTCTTCACCTTTCAAATCATTACTCTGTATAGTGTGGTCATGATCATTAAATTATTTACCAAAAAATGTGTTTCTTGTCTTTCTGGATAAGTAGTTAAAATGCAAGGTATGTGGTTTATTTACTTAACAGTGTTTGGTTTAATTTATTTTTTCTTATATATTTTTGCTAGTTGATTTTTTTTACTTGGCACAAATACTGTTTGGTGAATAGGCCAATATGTTTATTTTCTAATTGATGACCACATGTAGAAGAAAATCCTTAAAGAGTTGGCAAATATTGTATAGCAATATCTCTATATTATATGACATGTCTGATATGTCATTGGTCAATAAGCGGTACATTTGTACAAGTTGTTTTTTTATTATTAATTAAATTAATTGTTTTTACAAATGTAGCGGCCTGGGGTTAAAATAATACCAAAGTATAACACTGAGCAGAATGTACTGCTAACAAAATAGCATATCTATACAATTTTTCTAAAAACATTTTTTTGTCTATATACCAGTCTATTGAGTTAGAATATTTTATACCGGAACATACCTATTGTAAAACATGTAAAAGCTACTTAAAATAATTAACATAATACATTTTAATAGTTATTCATATTAATCATCTAGATTAATTATTTACTCTTGTGTTCTTACCATATTAACTACTACTTATAGATAGAAATATAGATGCTATAGCTATAAATAATCAGAACACCTCCAACATTGCAAATGTTTCTAGGGCAGACAGTACTCCATTCTTTGCTTGTTCAGTTCTTGCATGTAAAGATGATTTGAAACTGTAATCGAGTTTCTTTAAGTAACTGAACGTAAATCAAGTGTTTAATCAATTTCAGTAAGAGGAATTACTCCATTAAAGCAACGCAGATATTTTACTCTATCATTAAATATACAATTGCAAATCAAACTGCATTATCTTGGCTACACTGGTATGAAATATTCTGAAAGATGTATTTTCTATAGTACCCACGAGTATTTAGTGCCAATGCCCACAGAGCAGTGTCATCAATCTAATGCCTGGAGAATATTTGTTTTAGGCAATTAAAAAAAAACCACCCCAAAAAACCTACTTATCTGCCAGCTATGCCTATTACTTCTCATAATACTTAGTCAAATGTATAATACATACACAATGAATTTGCTACATTTAAATTTTTATACATGTTTATATAAGTGTACCTTATTTGGATTAATGAGTGTCACAGAAATGAATACATACAAAAAAAATCTTATTCATTCAAAATCTGGCCTATTAAACTCTCAATTCTGCAAGAGGTCTTGCAGTGGACCATACAGACAAAATTGCCACAGCGGTCTGGACACAATCAGTTATGTTTTCACTTTTGTTCCAGTATAATTTAAGTTGAAACAAATATTTGGCAGCCAGGTTCTTCAGTGGTTGAATTTGTGCTTTTTATCATCACAGGCCATTTTCTTTCAAGTAAAATATATAAAACAGTACCTCTTGCTGGCATTGTAAGTTTATTGTCTACGTGGCTAATGCATAGATCCACAACTGTTCTATGTGTTTTGAAGAGCAGTAGTTCTCTCTTTCAAGTTTATCCTTTAAAATATTAAACACCACCCTCATCTGATATTTGCTGTGACTCTTGTTCTTCAGAGGAGTTGTTATAGGATGGGTTGCCATCACAGGACATGGGCTTTTTCTCTTCTGCACTTTGACCAACCTCTTCCTGGACCTGTGGCTTGTCTGCTTCTGCAGAAGATTCCTGGGAATCATTTGCTAGCTTGCTTTCCTCTACCTGCTCAGCAGGTACTTCCTCCAATTTCTCAGTTGGAATTTCTTCTTGAGCATGACCAGTGGTGGTTTCTTCCACAGCTCTCTGATCAGTATCAGGAGTTGCTTCCTGAGCCACTACAGGCTCATCCTGCGTTTTCTGGTCATCTTTAATACTAGTACCTTTTGTTGGTGATTTGAGGTTCTGGGCAGCATTTAGGATGTCGGCCTGGAGTTGTTTGGTTGAATCCACTACTTCTTCTATCTGAGCATCTTGAGCTTTTTCAGGGATCTCACTAAAGGACTTGACTCCACCAGACTTGTCATCATGGTTGACATATTCCTTCTGAGAGAAGGATGAAGGGTAGTAGGCAGAGGCCTTATGCCTGTGGCTCATAATTACTGCAGCGCAGACTATGAATATCAGCAGGATAGCCAAAGATCCCACTACAATGACAAGCAACATATATTCTTTTAGAAACTTTGTTATGTTGCTAAGGATGTTCAAATGGGTAGAAGTTCCATTGGAACTGGTTTCCGAGCTTTCTGTTGTAAGACCAACAATCTCATAGCTTTCAGTGGGAGAGGACATAGTGGCACTTTCACCATCCCCACTTCCAACTTGCAATTCTGTTTCAGACGAAGTGTATCTGGCAGTGCACGGGGAATATGTGAAGACTAGGAAAACACACAGACTCACAAGAAATCCCATACTTATTCCAACAGGTGGATTCTGTTAACAAAGAGAGGAGAACAGTGAATAATTACCACATATAAAATAAAACATGCTTTCTATAGAAACAGAATACTTAACACCAAATTCTAACTAGTGAATCGTAGTGAATTACAAGTCAAACTGCCAAACTGAGACTAAAATAAATGATTTGGGAAAACGCAGCTATTCTAGCCTGGATTTTGAAGTTTGGGTTTGCATTTATCACAACTGGTTCAGTGAAGACACTGTTATGTTACACATTACTTGGACAATAGTTTTTGAAGCAGAGTGTTAATTTTAAAGTTTTTAAGTCACAATTGGCCCAGACAGAAACATTTTCAATCTCAGCTCTGTTTCCAATTTGGCATTTTAATGATTATTTATATGATATAGTTAGGTATCACATTTTTTTGCGATTCCTGTTTAGTTACAGTTTGACAGATTAATTAGTGATATGGCTTGTCTGGCCTCTAGCTAGCTAGTGCTCACTGAATAAAAAGGCAAACTAATAACCATCCCTCAACAAAGTATAGTCACCATGCCAATGTAAAACTATGCCTTTTGATGCTGCTTCAGTAGCAAATATTGGTGGAGCTATCTTGATGAATCATAACAAAACTGCATTTCATTATTTTAATATATCTTATCATGTTGAAAGAATAACTCTCTGTGCTTCAGGATCAAAGGTGAAATGGAATGGTATTTCTTATAATGTTGCATCTGCTATGATAGGGTGTACCCCTTCATACAACATAATTTTAAGACCTCATTTAACCCCTTAAGGACACATGACATGTGTGACATGTCATGATTCCCTTTTATTCCAGAAGTTTGGTCCTTAAGGGGTTAAAGTTATACTGTATAAATTCTTTAATTTACACAATATAACATAATATATCTAAGCTTTGCACAGGCATGAAATAGTACTGGAAGGATCTAATATAGTAGCACATGTTGTCTGCTATTTATTATATCTATACATAAAGAAGGGTATTCTGGGAGCTGAAAATGCATATCTGCAATGACTTGTGGGAATTTTTCTGATTTCCCGAAAGAAGACACAAAATGTGAGGACCCCTGCTATAAACACTTACAACTGCCACCCCTCTACCGTGTCAGTTCCCATAACAGTAGTGTCAATTTGCGTTCTGTTGGCTCTAACTTATTACTTGATACAAAGATTCACAAATGTGAATATATTTAAAGGAACAGGGGCATGGCTGGACAGTTTTTTATTTATAGTGTTATATTTTGTATTATTCAACATCTGCCCTCTAAGCTAATTTACATCAAGGCTTGCCTGATTATTTTGTGCATATTTATGAGATGACTACATGGACTGTTTAAACCATTTTCACTGTCAAGCAATGGATACACTCTGAATGTTTATCCAATGTACATACCATTAACTTGTGTCTGTGTAAGCTGACCTTTTTCCTATGATGTGTATCACCTACTTGGCTTTTGTCAAAGCATGTATTTTCTCTTTTAAAAATCCATACAAATGTATAAAATACAATAAAAAAAGACACTCACACACAAGATAATTATTTCATGTTATTTACCGACATTAATTCTGATACAATAGGACCTTTATCAATACTTCGATTAAAGATCTTTTTGGATCGAAACATTGTCAAACAATCTTAACATGAGTGCAAAAGCCTACTGGAGAAACATTTTGTATCAATGTTCTGATGCCGTCTTTGTCTAAAAATAACTGTATTGGACATTGGTCTCTTTACACCCGCATGAAAACATTGTCATCTGCTTATTCAGTAATATGAAACCAGAATGTGGATATTTAGGTTAAAGTAGCTAAGTTGGAAACATTATCCATCCTTTCGGTACTTACAACAAGACTATTTTAGAGTAAGCGTTAGCTTTCAAATTTAATGCCACTACAATTCGAAATGTTAGTTTTGGAGTGACATCCACTCCACTTTAAATTGTATTTTATTACAATTCCTGAATTGCTAGCGGATTCCAATATCTGTGTGGATCTCCCAGAAATATTCTAACATGAAGTTTGGGGTCTTGGCAAGGTCTGTAACTCTTACCCCCTCCCCCTTACACCCAATGAGTGCCAGATGGGTGTGCTCTGCACTCAGACACAGTACGTTTCTCATCATCCTGGCACTTGAAGATTTAAAAACCTCAACAAGCTTCTCCAGTGCCTGCCTACCACATCTGGGCTCTGTCTGCCTCTTTGTTACAGAGGCCAGTCCCCAGAGATGTCTGATCCCAGGCCCGCAGGTTAGAAAGGAGAAAATGTTCACATCTGGAGGAAGCAGTTGGATGGTAGGCTGAAGTAGCCAGTCTAGGATTTTAATAATCTGCTGTTTTTGTTTTTTTTCAAATACAACTTTCATGAAAACGACGTCAAACATCACAAAAAGGCAAATTATGCACATATGTAAAGGGTAAAAAATAGACGTAAAGTGTTTTTATAAATAAATAAATAAACATATTTAGCAGTATCTTTACAAGCAAGCAAAACTCTACAATTCTAACAAAACTAACAAAGTAACCTGGAAAAAGTAGCAGTCCAGACATATGAAGTCTGAAAAGAAGTAGGAGTATGGAATATGGTTTAGCTGCTCCAGAACAGAGTTGGTTAATAAACAGATATTTTCTAGGGCTGAAGTCCAAAGCATCAAGAAACCCCTGTACACTTTTATGAAATGCTTTAAAGTTTGTTCTTAAAACATTTTCTTGCCTCCAGGAAACACTCCAGCTGTTTCTCATGGCACATATTACAAGCAATAACCATCAGCCTAATGCACACTACTAACCTATAGCCTAATTTCACATGCATTGCTCTAGCATTGTATTCAGTTAGAGGTGGGGGCATTGAGAACTTACTGTATGACCAAGTCTTGCAATTTTCTGCAGCCTCCGTTGGTACAGATATCCAGTCTCTCAACCTTGCCTAGTGCAGACTGTTCTCATTAAGGCAGAAAGAATACAGGGGGCAGGCTCAGCTCTTAAAATAAAATCCCTCCTGCCTTTTCTGCACATCCTTCAGGATCCAAAGGCGTGGACAATTAACCCTTTTACTTTCAGTAAATTCAACCCTAGTACCAATTATCTCTCCATTTTTTTTAGAATGCAAGCTCTTTGTGTCAGGGTCTTTTTTTAGAGTGCAAGCTCTTTGTGTATACTTTATTATTATAATTGTATTATTTATATAGCGCCAGCAAAATCTGTAGTGCTGTTCATGGTCTTTCTCAAAACTGTGCAGTATACAGCCTTGTGCTTCAGTTGGAGTACAATTCCCATAATCCCAACAACTTGAGGGACAAAATTGAACACTTCTGGTTCTGCATATATTTTGTCTAGGACAGCTGCATTAATACTATTGGATGAAATAAATTCATAGTAATTAAATGTTTATATATATATATAGTTTACATTGTTGTATGTACATTATACAAATTGACTTCTAAGTTCTTACAAATGCTGTTCTCTTATTACAGTCCTCTGACAGAAGGAGGGTAAAGTGAACGAGCACAGAACAGTACAAGGGAACACAATTTAGTTCTTTAACTCTTTCTTGACTCAGTGACCTGAATTACACTGCGGTCTATAAAGACATGGCAGACCCCTCTTTCCAATGACTATACCTAATTGTTTCTGCATTTATAGGAATCAATGAAGTATGACTTAAAGGGGCACTACAGTCACCAGAACAACTACAGCTTAATGTAGTTGTTCTGGTGAGTATAATAGCTCCCTTCAGGCATATTCACGTAAACACTGCCTTTTCAGAGAAAAGGCAGTGTTTACATTGCCCCTTGGGACACCTCCAAGTGGCCACTCCTTAGATGGCCACTGGAGGGGCTTCCTGGGTCAGGGCTGCACAGTAAGCAACCCTACCGTTCAGCGTCCCCACGTTCTGCATGGAGACGCTGAATTTTTCTCATAGAGATGCATTGATTCAATGCAACTCTATGAGGAGGTCTTGATTGGCCAAAACGGCAATTGACCCGCCCCTGTGCTGATTTTAGCCAATCCAATGCTTTCCCTATGGGAAAGCAGTTAATTGGCTAAAAATCTGCCATTTTGATGATGTCACAAAGGGGGGCGGGGCCAGTGCCGGCGGACCCGCGCAGCGCTGGAAATAAGATGAGTTTTTTTTTTATAGGGGGTTAAGGGGGCAAGAAACCTAAATGGTGGGTTTTGCATTATAAGGTCAGGAATACATGTTTGTGTTCCTGACCCTATAGTGATCCTTTAAGGGCTCCACATTTTGTAGCCATACTTGGCCATATAAATAAATTTGTTGTATTTACACACATACACAGTCAGACATAAATTACTGATAGTATCATCATTTTAGCCACATAGGACAGTTTAATGGAATAGGTGGCTCCTAGAGGACTTTGGCAAATGTTTGGTTTTGGGTTGAGAGTAATTATTTGTAGCTAAGTCTGTTCATTTTTTATTTTATTTTTACAAGAGCAAAAGTATGTGTTGTGTGCAGAAACAAATGTGCTTTCCCACAGTAATTTACAACGTGAAAAACATATCAGAATGAGATTTTAAAGAAAAACGGTGTAAAATGCGATGAAAAGCTAATAAAACTATTTGAGGGAATGGTAAAGCAAGAATTAAGCAAAGTCCAATCAGTGCCATAACAAGCTGAGGTTGAAATTCACCTTACACCAATGTAACAAAAGGAGTGCCTGGGGCTGTGGAGCTCCAGGAAGGGAGGTTAGGTAGGATCTTAGATAGACCTCCAGAAACCAGCTGGAGAAAAAGAAGAAAACCAGAGAGTTTCCAAACAACAAAATAAAGTAAAATGGCCACTAACGTCCATCAAAAAGTGAAAATGAGATATAAAACTAGAAATAGCAATAGCAAGCCTGAAGAGTATGCCATCAGGATAAATGGTGTAGTCTTAAATGGAAACAAAGAAAATCATATTTGGGGTTGGTAGTAAGGGGCCTCAACCTAGAAAACCACCAACTGGGCTTTGTTTTGGCCGTCTGGGCAGAGAAGGATTAAAATACCACATTTAGCTACGCAAGTAACCAGTATGAGCCCCAGTCTTCATTCATGGCCCCAGGGTCCCTAACTAATCATGGGCCCTAGGCACTCTCCCAAGGCCACTTTTTAGCTGTTGTTCCTCTGGGGTTTTATATTTTTAAAGTGCTTTCTTTACATTTTTGTATTATTATTATTATTATTTATTTTTTGTTTGTTTCTTTGTTATAGAAATAGGAAAAATCTTGATCGAATTGTGGTCCTTGTGTTCAAGAATAAAGGACAATAATCTGTCTTCTCCAACCTATTTTTCAATCAGATTAATAATCCATGCTATACTTTATAGCGATCTAGAGTATAGCTGTAATGATTAATGTTGTATCACCGTTAAAAGTCAACAATTCCCAAAATACAGCAATTATTTATTTCTGGTGCTGATTGAGGGCAGAGAGCAATTCCTCATCTTGAGACTCAACTGAACAAATTAGGTTCCACAGCTGACATCCTGCGATCCATAATAATTTCCTCCCACCACATTCATGTCATCTTTGACAGCGACTCTAAATGTTGAAATTAAGTTTTCCACGGAAAAAAAATCTGTTGCTGGATCTAGAGGAAGTACAGGAGAATTGCATACACAGCTTTTGGATATACCAAAACCCATGTCATACAGTATATGCTTACCCCAGGCACAAATTTAACCTCTCTGGTTGTTAAAGCAATAAACGTGTTTTAAGTGTTCTTGTGGTTTACAATCCTCCCCCTTTTAAATGGTATACTGACAGCTGTGCCCAGTGCGTCTTTCAGAAAGCTAGTAAGCACTGGTAAGCACTGGTGCTGTGTTAACTTTCTCTGTATATTTTCTTCAACTCTACAGAGTTGGCTTATATATATATATATATATATATATATCATGTTTCCCATGCATGAGGTCGTTGGCGCCCTTCTTCCGGCAGAGACTAAGTCTTGTTTTGTGAGCAACCGATTCATTATATTTATAATATATTTCAATTTGATATTTTAATTGTGGCTGCTGGCTCAACTCCACAGTGCCCTGGCATAGCTACATATTCAGGGATAATCAAGCCCTCTGAATAGACATTTGGAGGAAGGACTATTCCGCACTGAGAGGGATAAATGTCGGGAGAATGCTTTTTTTTATTATGTTTTCTTCAGGCCATCAATAAAGAAAATACATGTTTTCTTTATGTTAATACTGGGTGGGCCAAAATTCAGAGTAGGATTTGAAAGGTATAACTTACTTGTTAGTAGTTTATTTTTTTGTTGTTGCAGGTACATATTATAGCTGAGTCTTGGGAGATTCATGGTGGGTGATTTCTGGGTAATTTCCAGAGAAAACAAAGAATTTATTCATCAACTCATCATGTCTGACAAGGCTCATTTTCATTGAAATGGCTTTGTCAATATCTAAAAATGTTGTTTCCAGGGTACAGAAGATCCATTGATAATTCATCCATGCCACTTGCACCCTACCAAATGCACTGTCTGGTGCGGGGTGAACTTGCATAAAGTTATCTGGCAGAAATTGCAAGCTATTGACAATGTTATTAACAATGCAAATGACAGAGCCCAACTTTGCATGATGGCAAATGGCGCTCATTTAAAATATGTCATCTTCTGTACCTAGTCAAACAAATCTCCATGTGTTAAGCAAAAAAAAAAGTTATTAACACCTCAAAACCTACTCTGAATTTTGGCTCAAGCTGTACATGTAATGTTCATGTTACAAATACAATTTACAGAGCAAGCTGTATCTGAATTTACTAATATATCTTAATATGAACCCAAAATTGTGGAAGATTATCAAGTCTTCAATGAATGAATGTGAGTGTTTGTCCTGATACATCCCTGGTTCTTTTAAAATGAACAATATGCAACAATCACTGTAGGCATAATTAGCACTACTTTTCTCTATCATTAAAATATGTCCCAAGAGGCTTTGGGAGTAAAGAACCTCTCCTGATGTGTATCAGTAGGATAACTCTTCAGTCTTTATTAGTCTAAAAGGGAAATGTTCATGTATCCATCACAAGTCCAATAGCAAGCTGACCATCAGATAAAGGCAATTCTTGGGAAATGTCAAAGGAAATGAAGTTGATGGGGTAATTTTGGTTCCCATCCTCCCAAGAGGAAAATAAGTGTTCGAATCTCTCAAATCAACTGATTCCTTTTGCTCAAAAACAAACCTTGCGTAGAAGGCACTTACCCAGTGAAATCTATATATATTATGTAGGCACTCAGACACCCAATGTGCCTCTTAAAATTGCACAAAAATCTCCTAGCTTAATATTGTTTGTAAAGTGCCAACAAATTTCTCAGTGCTGTACAATAGGTGGACTAACAGACATCTATTCGTAACACAGGAACAGAGTGTGTTGAGGGCACTGCTCAAATGAGCCTACATTCTAGAGGAAGTGTGGTAAAGCAACACAAGAAGAAAGGGTAGGATGTATTTCAAATATGGGAAAAGTGGATTTCTAGAGATGTTTCTAACATTTGTGATGATACAGTAGCAGGAGAGGAAGCAAGGTGGGTTGACTGGGTGCAGAGAGGGGAAGCTGTTAACAGTTTTATTGAAAAGCCTTCTTGAAGAAGTGAGTTTTCAATTATTTTTTTGAAGGATCGGAGACTGGGTGAGAGTCTAACAGAGCAGAGAAGGGAGTTCCATATGAACGGTGCAGCCCCAAAGAAGTCTTCAAGGCGAGCATCAGAGGTGAGAGTACGAACAGTGGATAGGTCTTCCGTAGAGCGTAGGGGCCAATATTGGACATACTTGTTTGTTAGTGAGGATAGGCAGGTAGGAGCAGTGTTTTGTAAATATTTATTAGCAAGTACTTGCTCCTCTGGCTAGAGTTCACTCTTGCGAGAGTCTGCACTGTCGGTGCATTACCATGGTAACCATTGGATTTTACACACATCACTAACTGTACTGTTTGCCAAATCACATTTTAATCTTTCTAGCCAGTCAGAGGTCAGTTCAATTTCATGCTGGCTCCAAATTTTTCTAAACTGAAAAAC